GGCAGTGTTTCGTTCTGCTGTGCATGGGGTCGCTATGAGTCGGAAACGACTCCACGACACTTAACAACAACATCCTAAATATAGGTACTTCTCCTTATATTCCCAAGTTCCTAACCTTTGGTTGGTTGGTGATTTGTTTTTCCTTCCCCTTCCTCCTCTATATTTATTTCATAGATAACTCTTATCTTAAATATATTTTTCCTTGTTCTGTTTCTAACATTTGAAGAAGGGAAATGTACTTACTAAAGTATATCCTGAGAATTATTCTAGGCTTGCTCATGGACTATGTTAGTCTTCTTTTAGCTTGAAAGGAGGAGGGGAGCTAAACCATAGAATTGACTACTTTTGATTTTGTTTTGGAGATATAATTGTGCTGATTCAATCTAAAATAATTTTGCTATTTACAAAGCATTTGAACGATGAGCTAATTGAAGACTTTGAGTGAGTGAGTAACAGACCAGTTAGAAAGGTCTCCAAAGGCAAGGAAGAGCTACCGCTCCTTTAATCACTCAAGCAAAGCATCACTGTTTTCCTTTTTTTTCTTTTTCTTTTCTTAAGCAGAAACCAAATCAGCACAGCTGTAAATGACATTACACTCATATAGCTGTCTAAACCAGCCCAGGCAGAGTGATTTCCCTGTGGCAGTTCCTGCTCCCTGCTTGATTTCTTGAAGTTAGCTGGTAAGAATAAGCTATTAGGAAACTTAAATTGGTGATAATTAGCTGTACATTATTATTTCAAAGTGGTGTGGCTGTGCCAATTAAGTGGGTAATTAGGAAAACCCCAGGACAATATATTAAGACAGAGTCTCAACACCAGTGCCCCATCTGTTCTCCAGCAAGCATTCCAATTAGCCAAGCCTCCCATTTAAGCATACACCAATTAAAGGACTGGCTGCATGCATGGGTGTGTATTTGGGTAATAGAGATTATCCTAGGTACAGAGTAAAATTATATATATATGTGTGTGTGTGTGTGTGTGTGTTATATATATATATATATATATATATATATATATATATATATATATATATATAAAATATTAGAGAAGATTTTGTTATCAATATGGGGAATAAGGAATTTTTAGAAATATTGGAGTTTTGATGTTTGAAACAAAACATAATTTAAATTTTTAAAATTAATTTTTGTTTTTCTGAATTTTCTCAATACAACCAAATTGGAATATT